ACACTCCTTGGAGAGAACAATCATGGGAGAAAGAAGGGCTATTTATGCACAGGGAGACAGCTCAGGGGGCAGGAGCACATGGAGGGATGGACACAGGGAAGTGGTAACTATCAGGAGGAAGTGGGAGGGGAGCTGGTGCACTGGGATAAATTGTAGTCAATGTCATGAGACAAAGTGTATGTGAACTGTTGTACGGAAAGTGAATTTGCTCTGTAAATTTTCACCCAAATCACAATTAGAAGGAGAGAGAGAGAGAGAATGAATGAAGAAACTAAAGACTCAGAGAGGAAACTGGTCCATAGGATTAATAGTCTGAATGATCCATGATCTCATGTACCTTGAGGTGAGAGGAATTAGGTGGTGCCTGGATGTCACTAGCCACAATTCTGACCAGAACCACAATAGATGAATCCTGATAGAATAGAAGGAAAATGTGGAACAGAACACAAATTCTTGAAAAGCCCAGACTTATTGGACCAGTTGAGACTGGAGGATTATCTGAGACTATCACTCTGACATACTCTTTAAATCGTAAACCCAAACTACTCCACGCGATGATCTTTTTAGCGAAACAGATTGGTTCACAAAATATCACCCCAAGCACTGTGCTCTTTCAAAAAACCCTTTAAAAAAAAAAGAGACCAAATGGTCAACACTTAATCTAAAGCAAAGATGAGAAGGCAAGGAGGCAGGGGAAACAGATTAGTGGGAACAGGTCAACCAGAAGGGAACTAATGAGAAAGTTTACATGCTGTGTAAATTTTAACCAATCTCAGCGTGCAAATTGTGTAGAAACTGTTACATGGGAACCTAATTTACTGTGCAAACTTTTACCAAAACACACTAAAATATTATTTTCAAGGAAAAAAAAAATGTTTCCGTCACTTACTAGATAATAGTTTTCTCATCAGCAAAATGGGATAATAATAGTTCCTAACTCTTAAAACGCTACCAGCATTAGTGGAGATTACATATATTCACTCAGCAGAAGGGCAAAATGAATGTTAGCTATTCTTAACACCACCAGTGCAAAGAAATAAAGGGAAGTTGAAAGGGGGAAAAGCAACTCGCCCAAAGTCCCAAAGCGAGCCAGTATTATTAATTTCCTTGCTTTCCTCACTCATTCATTCGCTCTACAAACTTTTAGTTAAGTAGTTTTTCTGTGTCAGATCCCTTGCAGTTTTAGGATGTGTAAGCTCGGGTGCTGGTTATTAGCCCAAGACTCTTAACTACAATTCTAATGCCACTTCAAAGGGCGGTCGAGACGCTGAAAACTAGGCGTCAAACGCGAAACGTATACTGAACATCTGCAGAAGGTCAGATGCTTTTACAGCGTTTACTGTTTTAACTCCATAAAAGATTCTTCTCCTTTCTCCCTCAGTGTGGGAAAAGGCCGGTGGGGACCACCTGGTGCAGGGCACCGCGAGAGGAAGATTAATTGTGGCCCTAAAGCCATCTATTTCATCACTTACCGCTTGCAGCAAAGCTCCCTGCTGCTGCCCCGCTCCGGGGCCCGACCCTGCCGCTCCCAAGAGCAAGTCATGCCGCTGCCTCTTGACTGGGACCAGAGGTAACTCTGGGCCCTTGCGCTTCTGTTGTTCTATCATGGCGGCAGCCAGTCTCCACAGCACCGCCACTGACCGTGCCGACACACTCAGGGACCTACGATTGGCTGCAACTTAGTCCTTCCCCGGGACCTTCCGTCCTAGATCTAGAAACCAATCGGCTTCCAATTCTGACTGCGCCGCACTCTGGATAGTCTTTTGTTATTGGGCAGGTCGTTCTGACGACACGAGAGTACTACTCCAGGATTGGCGGGTGGAGCTGGAGTCCCGCCTAGGCGCGCTGTGTCTTGTGGGTGGAAGTGCGGTGACTGGGTTTGGCGTTTCGCTCAGTTCCCGGACTGGTCGAACGGGAGCAGAAGCCCAGTAAGTATGAGGGAAATCGGTGGTGGCTTCCCGAATCTGGATGTAGCACCTCGGTAATGGGGGTCTCAGTTTGGCCCTTCTTAGCTGAAGATGCTTATTGCAAAGGGTGGGAGGCAGGCCTGAGTCCCTAGCCCTGGTAAGTAGCCGCTTGGATTTTCTTTCCAGGCAGAAACAGCTTTGGGGTCTTTGGCGGCAAGACCCAGATCCTGCGGCTGCCTGGCGTCTTCTCTTGCTTTTTCAACAAGCGCGTACTTGTGTCCAGCCCTGTGCGGGGCGTTCCTAGGGAGAAAAGACCTGGCTCCTAGTTCCCACCAGTCTCCTATCTGAGATGGCGAGACTTGTGTTTCTGCAGCCTTTTGAAAGGGCCTACTCTTTGCCTGTCCCAAAAAGACGGATATGAAGAAAATATTGGCCACCGGCTTCTCGAGTGCACAATATTGTTGAAAAGCAACAGCTATTTGTTGTGCAAAGCGTTGGGGATAGAGTGTACCCAACCTCAGGGTCACTCACCTTAGGAAGTTTTGAGTCTGGTGCTAAGTAAAAGTGCTACCAAGAAGAGGTACCTGATGCTCTGAGTGCCTGAAATAAGCAGGAAGCCTTCTCTAAGAAAAAGATGCTTGAGTTGATATCTGAAGGAAGAATTCTATTTAATTAAGTGAAGAAGGGAAGGTGGACCATTCCATGTGGAACAGCTTGTGTAGATGCCCTTTGGCAAGTGAGAACAAAATGACTAAAAGGTACAAAGAGAATGAAGGGGAGTATGGCAAGATGAAGTTGAAGGCAGTTAGAAGGTCAGATTTTCCAAGAATTTATATCCTTAAGACTGATGGGCAGTCAACTGTGGATTTTGGTGGTGGAGGTCCGCTTGATCTCCCTGACTTCGTGGGAACAGATTGGAGGGGAGCCCTAGGGAACGCAGATAGACCACTTAAGATGATAAATAGTTGTATAGCAAGAGATGTTAGTTAGTAAGATACAACGCAAAAACATTGTTCCACATCCTACTTTGGTTAAGTAGTGGCTGGGATCTTAAAAACTTGCAGGTGGCCATCTAGATGCAAAAGTGGGTCTCTCTTCATCCAGAGCAAAGAATGAAGAAAACCAAAGATGCATGAAAACAATTAATCCAAGGGACTGGTAGACATGCGATCCTCAGCCTATATTAGCATGAGACCAGAAGAATTAGATGGTGCCTGGCTCCCACTGTCAACCACTTGAAGGAGGATCTATGTAGGAGATCCTGGATAGAGTGGGAGAACAATGTGGAGCAAAACTCAAAATCATAAAAGAAGACCAGGTTTTCTGATCTGATAGAGCTTGGTGAGACCCCTGAGATTGTGGCCTCTAGCCACCCTTCGGGTCTGGAAGTGAACTCATTCTTGTGGCTTCCAGCCAAACAGTAGACAGACATGGGGTGACCATTTATATCAGATAGATACACTCCTTGGAGCAGTCAGTCATGGGAGAACAGAAGGGCAGTGTTTGCACAGGGAGACAGCTCAGGAGGTAGGAGTGCATGGGAGGGAAGGACACAGGGAAGAAATAACTACCGAGAGGAAGTCGATTCCAACTCATAGTGATTCCCTTTGGGTTTCCAAGGCAGTGAATCTTCATGGAAATAGATTGCCCAGTCTTCCTTTTGTGGAGTGACTGGTGGGTTTGACCCTCCAGCCTTCTGGTTAGCAGTCAAATGCTTTAGGCACTATGCCACTAGCGCTCTGACTAGACTATATGTCACAGGGTTTTTTTTTAACTTTTTTAAAGCAGCAGAACTTTTTTTTCTAACTGAAATCTTTTACAGAAACTTAGTATATAAACTGGATCAGAGCAGAATACTCTGTTAAGTAGGCCTTCCTCCAGTAACACTTCCACTCTAGCCCCACCATGACCCACTCCAAGGCTGGGAAGGCAAATAGGAATTAGCAATAATCAGCCTTTTGCCTAATTACTAAGGATAGGCTCCTACCCTCCCATTTGCTCAGGGGGTGGTATCTCCCTAACTGGTTTCTTTGATGCTTGACTCCCTCCACCATTGGAATGGAGGTCCTCCTGGTTTAGTTGGCTAGCCTAGAGCCCTGTTTCTTTGGATTTCTTCCTGAACCCTGTGGTGACCTATATATTTTGGAACTGACTTTTTAAAAATAAACCTGAATTAGCTGAGGAGCCTCTGAATAATTTCCACCAAACCCTAGGGTTTCACAGAACATAATTAGAAAATTAAATGTCATCTTAAAAATGACAACCCTCTGCTTTCCTGAAGTGGTAAACCTATTATATTTCCAGGCTTTCCCTCAAAAGATGCATGCCAGATTCCTTCTTGAAAAATCACATAGGGCTTTTCATGCTATAGGAGGAGCAAACAGGAGAGCTTTAAACTCAGCTGTTCATTCTGGTATCACAGCAGAAATCCACAACAAACAAGATCATCTTCACTTTTATTTCACTTTCCATGGCCTTTGTGTAGAGAGGAACAGGGGATAGACTAGATAGACCAAGGTATTTGAGCTCAATTTAGATGTGGCAGCTGCTAATCCTTCTATAGATTCTCTACCTCATGAATGCTATGAGAGTTGGCAGGATAATAAAGGAGGTTAATAACCTTGTTTCTGGGGTGCGAGGTAAGGGGTACCAGGCAGAAAGAAGAAAGGGCTGGAAATGAGACCACATAGCTGGTAAAGAAGAGGCAAGATTCAACCAGGTTTGTTTGCTTTTTTTTTAATGTGACTTGGGTGAAAGTTTACAGAGCAAATTTATCTTCCATACAGCAGTTCACATATACTTTGTCTCATGACATTGACTGTAATCTCCCACAATGCAACAGCTCTCCTCCCACTTCCTCCCCATAGCCAACTCTTTCCTGTATCCTCCCATGCACTTCTGCCCCCCCCCCACAGCTGTCTCCCTATGCATACACAGCCCTTCTATTCTCCCATGATTGATCTCTCCAAGGAGTATATCTACCTAATGTAAATGTTCAGCTCATACGTCTGTCTTTTGTTTGGCTGGAAGCCACAGGAGTGGGTTCAATTTCAGACCTGAATGCAGCTAGAGGCCATAGTCTCAGGGGTTCCACCAGTCTCTTACCAGAGCAGTAAACTTGGTCCCCCCCTTTTTTTTTTTAAATTTTGAGTTTTATTCCACATTGTTCTCCCACTCTATCCAGGATCTCCTACATAGATCCCCCTCTGAGTGGTTGACAGTGGTAGCCAGGCACTATCTAGTTCTTCTGGTCTCATAGTCATATAGGCTGAGGATCACATGGTGTACCAGTTGCTTGGACTGATTTGTTTCCATGCATCTTTGTTTTCTTTATTCTTCTTTGCTCTGGATGAGGAGAGACCCATCATTGCATCTAGATGTCCTCTTGCAAGCTTTTAAGATTCCAGTTGCTGCTCGCCAAAGTAGGATGTGGAACAATGTTTTGTGTAGTATATTATGCCAGATGAGCTTCATGTGTCCTGTGACCATGGTCCCGAGTCCACAGGACCAATTACTTGCTCCCTCTGGGTAGCTGGCTGTGGCCAGGAAGTAACTACAACCTTGTCCCTTGTCAGCTGTACGATATACCTGGGAATTCTTACAGAACATACAAATACACTTGTAGAAACATTGTCTGCCAACCCTCTACATGGTCATGGGCACCCTCCCCCTGCATAGCCATACCTAATTGTCCAGCCTGCCTACCCATCTATCCACCCGTAGATCAGTGTTTGCCTTCACTGATAACGTAGTACTCTATGTACAAAAGGGTTCATCCTTGTTAAGATTCAATGAGGTTTTGATACCTACAAGTTCACAGGTTGGTTTCACTGTATATTGGATTTTACCTGTTTACCATCCAATTCTCGAGAACTGACAAAGCTGCCTCCATTCTATCTGTGTGCTTTTGGTGAAGTAATAACCAAGTTTGGTGGCTTAAGCAGAAAAGAGCAAAGTTATTGTAAGAACAGAAGGTTGTGTTATGGATAGGCATGTTCCTGGCCTTGTGATGATCTAGAACAAGATTTACGGAATTTTCTCTCATTTCTATTTCAAGTGCGGGGATCCAGTTATTGGGTGGTCATTGTAAATTAGGAATACATTCCAAAAGTAGGACATGAAATCATTATCTGAAAGTGAGAGGGTGAGCTGGAGTTGCAGAGAAGAAATGTGTCTTTGAAACCCCAAGGAGAACAGAGTTTTAAGTCTTAGTATCGAGTGTAACTGGAAGGTCATGAAAGAGAACTGAGGAGAGTGCCATTTATCTTTATCTAGCAGTGATTTATCTTGCAGAGTAAAGGGACATAGTTAAGAGCCATTAAACCAATCAAACAAAAAACCAGACCTTGCCATTGAGTTGATTCCATCTGCCACATATGGTTTCCGAGGCTGTAAATCTTTACGGAAGCAGACTGCTTCCTCTTTCTCCTTTTGGGTACAGCTGAACACTTCAACCACTGCATCACCAGGGCTTCTAAAAACCAAACCCATTGCTGTCAATTCTGACTCATAGTGATCCTGTAGGGTAGAGGAGAACTGCCTCATAAGGTTTGCAATGCTTTTAGCAGCTGAACACTTAACCACTGCACTACCTGGACTTCTAATATGAGCCATTAGAACGGGAGCTCTGGTAGCATAGTGGCTAAGGCGCTTGACTGCTAACCAGAAGGCTGGTGGTTCAAACCCACCAGCCACTCCTCGGAAAGAAAGTTGGGCAATCCTACTTCCGTAGTGATACTGCCTCGGAAACCCAAGGAGGGGTCCCTATGAGTCAGGGCTGACTCGATGGCACATCACAACAACAACAACACCAATGTCCTGTTTAATACAAAGAGGCTAAATAAGAGTATCTCTAAGGTCCCTTCCAACTCTAAAGCTCCAAGACTTTCTACTCCAGTAGTGTCAGTATCACCTGGAAGCTTGTTAGAAATGCAGAATCTAGGGCACCACCTCAGACCTTCTGAATCACAATCTGCATTTTAATATGAATATGTACATGAAGGTTGAAAAGCACTGTTTATATTCTGAGTGGTAGAATGTAAGGGGCCACTGGCCTATTGAAATGTCAAAAAGTGACTTTTCATTTCAGGAAGGCAAATTGAGCCTATTAATCTTTTGTGTTTCCTAGTGTTCTGTTGAAATGACTGGGGATGTAAAAAAAAAAAAAAGGACAAGATCGACAGTAGCATAAGAAATGGGAGAAAGGTGCCATCAGTAGACCTAAATATTTGATGAACTTTTGAAAAATATGAGTGAGATGGGATTGGATTGAAAAAAAAAAAGAGGAATTAGTACCAAACCTCCCAGGCTCAGTTTAAGAGATTTGCAACAAGATTATGGGAAAGTCAGCTGTAAGGGATGAAGAACAGCATTGAATGGTTTTAGGAATTTATCAGTGATACTCACCCCAAAAGGGACTTGTGGAAGAGTCCAAATGTGGGAGATGTTGCCAGGGAGAAGAGTTAAAGCCCAACTAATTTCAGTATAGGTGGTATAGCATAGCAATTGATAGTGTTGCCTCTGGAGTCAAAAATTGGATTGAGCTAACTAAAATAAAATACAGCTATTGGCCTTTAGTCATCAGGCATGAAGGAGAAAGAAGGAAACCAAAGTCTCAGAGAAGAAACTAGTCACAGGGCCAATAGCCTACATCCTGAAACCAGAAGAAGTAGTAGATGGTACCTGGCTACCACTATTGACTGTTCTTATCTGGGCCACAATAGATGGACTCTTGACTGACAGGAGAAAAACATGGAACAGAACTCAAATTCTTAAAATGTCCAGACTTATGTGACCAGTGAGACTAGAGGGTTCCCTTAAACTATCACCCTGAGTTACTCTTTAATTTCTGGAACAGAAATTATCCCCTGAAGTCACTTTAGTGAAGTAACAGATTGGCACACAAAATAAAATATATTACTGTGAGTATGGTGCTCTATTAAAAAACTATATGAGACCAAAAGGTCAACAATTACTTTAAAGCAAAGATGAGAAGATTAGGGGGCAGGGAAACTAGAGTACTAGAAATGACAACCAGAACACAATTAAAAAGAATGTTGACACATCGTGAAAATTGAACTAAAGTCGGTGAACAATTTGTGTAGAAATTGTCAAATGGGAACTAATTTGCTAAACTTCGACTGAAAACACAGTAAGATATTCTTTTCTGTTTTAAAAAGAAAGACCTGGATTGACATTGCAAGTTCCTAGCACTTTTTAGTTGTGAAACTTTGGACAAGTTATATAACTTGTCTGTTCTTTGATATTCTCATCTGTAAAATGTGATGAATAGATTTGTTGTGAGGTTTAAATGAGATAATTTGTGTATAACAGAGTACCTGGGACCATAGTAAATGCTTAATAAATGTTAGCATGAGCATTTCTTCCTCTTCCTCCTCCTTCATCATTATTATCATCTAAGCTACACCAGAAGGAGTTCTGGTTGCATAGTGCCTTACGCGTTTGACTGCTAACCAGAAGGTTGGCAGTTCAAACCCACCAGCCCTCCATGGAAGGAAGAATGAGCAATCTACTTCCATAATGATTTACTGCCTCGGAAACCCAAAACTCACTGCCGTCGAGTCGGATCATAGTGACCCCTCCTTGGGTTTCCATGGTGGTATCGCTACGGAAATAGATTGCCCAACCTTCCTTGCAAGGAGTGACTGGTGGGTTTGAACCTCCAGTCTTCCGCTTGGCAGTCAAATGCTTTAGGCAAGTCGCCACCAGAGCTCCCTTGGAAACCCAAAGGGGTCACTATGAGTCGAAATAGATTCAGTGGCAGTGACTTTGGTTTTTATGATTAAGCTACAGCAACAAATGCTTAAAAGTATGCATAATGATGGTTATTGCTCTATTTACGATAGCTAAGTTTGAGAGCAACCTGAATGTTGATTAAGAGGGAAATAAATAAATTTGCTGTATCCAACAATAGATTATTATGTAGACATGAAAAAATATTAGTATGCATGCATGAACTGCTATAATATATTGTTAAGAAATTAATAAATTAATAATGATTTAATGATTCCATTAAAAATTACTTCTACAGTTAAAACAATGTGAAAGGATACAAACCATATTCAATTATGGATGACTTTATTTTCTTTAATGTTTCATCTGAATTTTTAAAATGAGCATGTGTGTGTTTTAATTTTATCAAGGGGAAAAAAGCTTGCTTTCTTTTTTTGAAGCTACTTCAGATATACTACCTAGTGTAGTGGTTAAGACCATGGACTAGGAGCAGCCACACTTTGACTCCACCATTTGCTGCCTTTTTTAATTTAACCTTTGGCAGCCTTGATTTTCTCATTTATATAATATGATAATAATAGAACTTACATCTTTAGAGGGAGCTCTGGTAGTGTAGTGCCTAAGGCACTTGACTGCTAACCAGAAGGCTGGCGGTTCAAACCCACCAGCCATTCCTCGGAAGGAAGATGGGGCAGTCTACTTCCATAGTGATACTGCCTCGAAACCCAAGGAGAGGTTGCTATGAGTCGGGTCCAACTCGAGGGCACATAACAACAACAACAACAACATCTTTCGAGTTTTGAGGATTAAATGAGATACTGCATGTGCCTGGACATAGTAAATGCTTGATAAATTTTAGCTATTACCACTGTTATCATTCTGTGTGGGTTTTTTTTTTTTTTTTTGAGATATAGTCTCTCTCACATCCCCCCACCCCACTCCCAAAAAACCTTCCTTTGGCCGAAACTAAAAGCAACAATAGTAATAAAAAATACTGGTAGACTAATGGCTTGGGTAAATAACAAATTGAAAAGAAATTTGATATTAGATCCAGGTCTCCAAAAGACTCTACAATTAGAGTTGATGCAAAGAATGAGATTTGGATAAAAGTACATGGTGTTAAATCTAATGCTCTCATTCTGTAGATATTAGCTGTGAGCTCTGCTTAATCATTTCTTCTTTGCAGATGTCTCTTTAATTGTTTGCCTCAATTTTTTTGTGACAGGACACTTGAATTAGCTTTAGCAAAAGAGAAATGGAGGAGCCATAGAACATTAAGTAAAGATGAATTCAGGAAGACCCGAGACCATGGAAAACTTGCCTGCTCTCTACACTATTTTCCAAGGAGAGGTATGTTCTTTTGAGCCTACCGTTTATGTTAAACACGGATTTAGGGTGAAAAGCAATTGGATTGGGAGCTCCTGACCACATGAGAATACCTTGAGCATTACATCTTGAACGGAAAGGGCTAGTGCGACATCTGGCTGTCACATGTACCTCCTCTTAAACACTTGGCTCTAACTATACACTTGACATCTTCATTTGAATACTTCTTAGCATCTCATATTTATGTTTTAAATTGAATTCTTGATTTTTGTCACTAAACCTGTTCCTCTTCTAGCCTTTTTCTGTCTCAGCAAGTAGAACCACTGTCTGTTTAGATACCCAAACTAGAACTTTGGACATAATCTTTACATGGTGAGAGAAATTATCTTGTTTTCTACTTTTTATTTGATCTTGATTTTCCTTCCCTCTCCAGTCTATAAGCAAGCCCTATCATTTTTATCTCTTAAATATATTTTCAGTCTATATACTTCCGTATCTCCTTGACACCACATTAGTTCAAGCTCTCCATTTCTTGACTATCCTACTACAATGCCCTCCTCCCTGTGTATGTTGTAGCCCCTTTCCAATCTGTTGTTCACATTTTAGCCATAATATTTTAAATACATAGATTGGACCATGGTGCTTCTGCTTACAGCTCTTTAGATGTTTCTCTTTATATAAATTTAAATATATCCAAACTTGTTTTCATACCCCTTACATGACTGACTTGGCCTCTGCCTGCTCTGATGGTGTTGACTTGTTCTGCTCTGCTCATACTCCAGCCACATTGGCCTTCTAATAGCTCTGGACATTCTGAACTTGGTTCTTCCAGCTTCTAGATTTCAGCCCTAATACTATCTCCTCAGAGAACTTTCTTTTCCACTTTATCTAAATGGATCCACCCCATACTTGTTTATTTATTTGTTTGATATCTGTCTTCCTTACAAGACTATTAAATTCTACCAGGGCAGGGCTGTGTTTGTTTTGTTCACTATTCTATATCTCATGCAAAGGTTGTTGTTGTTGTTGTTTGCCGTGGAGTCAAACCCGACTCATGCAAAGGTAGAGGGGTAGAAAATAGTAGGTGCTGAATACATTTTTGATGACTAAAGGAATGATCAGCCTTTGGAGGACAAGATCCAGACAGAACTTGAATTCTAGGCCCGGCTCTTTTACTTACTGAGCCTCAGTTTTCTCATTTGTTAAATAAGATTGCTGTGATGGTTAAATAAACTACCATCTACAAATACATAATGCCTAAGACATACCCCCTGCCACTGAGTTGTTTCTGACTCATAGCAACCCTGTAGGTCACAGTACAACTTTCCCATAGGGTTTCCAAGGCTATAAATCTTTACAGAAGTAGACTGACTCATCTTCTTCCTGCAGAGTGGCCAGTGGGTTTGAACCGCTAACTTTTTGGTTAGCAGCTGAAGGCTTTAACCACAGTGCCACTGGAGCTCCTTGAGATATAGTAGTTTCTCATTAAAGTTACCTCCTTCCTCTTAAAGCAAAAGTTAAACCAAAACATTGTTTTTAGTGTCTTTAGAGTACCTGTGGTATTTTAACTGTATCGTTCTTAGGGAATTCATACTTGGTTCATGGCTGACAAGAGTTTTGCCTCCTAATAGTGGTAGTTTTTTGAGAACACACTTTGTGACTGTCAATTGTTTATAAATAGTGTGGCTCTTGACTTCTGCTAAGTTGATCCCAACTTGTATTATAACAGGCAAGATACAAAGGCTAACACTAACAAAATTAGCAAACAACTCTCCCTTTCATTGCCTCTATTCTCTTTCTTAAAGGACCAAGGTTTCCCCAAGGATTGGTGAAGTACTAGGACTCAGAAAAAAAGAAGTGGTAGCACTGGAGGTGAAATGATTTCTCTGATCATGCCCTCACTTGTCAGGTGTTGTACAAGATAGAGATAAAACACTGCCCTCCAAGACTCCCTCAGAGTTCTAGGAAAGTGCCTCCTGACTTACAGCTTTTTTTTTAGATAAAATGTGGCTTGAACTAGTCTAAGGTTTTTTTTTTTCCCCCTTATTCTTTTTACTTTTATTGTGGTGAAAATGTACACAACAAGACATTTGCCAACACAATAACGTAACACAATTACAACTTGGGGCATTGATGACATTTTTCATGTTGTGGCACTATTTCTATCCTTTTCCAAAATATTCTACCACAATTAGCATAAACTCGGTGCCCCGCAAACAAAAGCTTCCCCTTTCTCCCTCATTCCTACCCCTGGTAACCACTAATAATCTTTGGTATTTACTATATA